TTTTTTTCTTCTTTTTCTCCTTCCATCAAATTACGCTGCTGCAACGCCTGTCCTCCCTCTTTCTCTCCTGGTTCTCCTGGGCCAGCCCTAGCGCAGATCTCCTCGCGTATCTTCACCCTTTTACTTTCCAATTATATAATAAGCAGCGTGATTTTTTTCTACATTTCGCTACGGAAGTCACGTTCAGATTGAGACGTAGTCTAGCGAAAATAGGTAGTTGATGAGTGTACGTTCCATTCAGTTTTCGTAAGTTTATATTTCATGTTGGATCTGCAGCAAATCCGAAGATACGCGTAGAAATCACGCAGTGTACATTTCCTCAAAGATCGTAGAAAGTACTCGAACAGTCGATGATCCACTACATTAACGCTAAAACTATCGACGATTGAAGCATTGAAAATCCCCACCAGTGACATTAAGATAAGAAAAAGAAAGAAACACAGAAAAACTTTGCAATACTAGTGCACTTTGTAATACACATTTTACGAAAAATTATTCAAATCTTGCTTCACATTTATCTAAAATTACGAATTTGTCATTCTGATCACTTTGGTAGCTCTAGCGTCAATAAATACCAAGATTAAACGTGACTAATACATTCAATTTTTTAAAAATGTATCTACGAAAAAAAGAGTATTCCATCTTTTTCTTTTTTTCGTCCTTTATTCTTCTACCTACATTCTACAATTTAGTATTTGTTAACGTTAATGAGAAACACGTTCGAAAGGTAGCGGATATCTCGGAGATAACTCTCTCTCTCCCTTAATAAACTAAATGCTGCGAAATTCTCGCGGATCTTAAGCTTCCTCTGCGATTCCAAAGTCTCCGGATCTGCAGAGTAATAAATCCAAGGTGCATTAGGAAACTTGGTAAGAATACAAGGCGTGTTACACGTCGCCTGCAACAAGCCATACAATAGCTGCCGGCGCTACGGAAACTAGAAGCCAGCCACCCGCCCGTATCGTTCCGGAGTGACAACCAGCTTAAGATGTAATAAGACTGCGATAACAAGCGGAGTTGTTGCACGCCGGATCGTACTTGACAACACGGTTTTACAGTCATTCCGGTCTGGATGGCGCCCCGCCGGATTTGGATTAATCCTTCGTTTCTCGCGATACGCACGCACCGGCTGCAACATCTTCAAACAATGCCTGGCTACGTACCACCTGTACCACTTAATTGAAACGTCTTTACAACGCTTCAACGCTAGACGAGTGCCATTTTCTCAGGCTTGTATATACGGTTACAACACGTTTCGATGCGTCAAAATTTACTTATTAATCGTCTCGTTAATAATCACGCTATATAATCGATCTTTTTCTGGTTCAAGAGTTTTCGTCACTCTTTTTTGAGCGTGTTTCAATCTTTTTTTATAATTTTAATTATACAAAAGTTTGACAAATCGCGAAGAACTTCGCTCTTAATCCCTTGCGCTGGCAATCGATTCGCGGACCATAACGAGTGACCGAACCGTATACGATAATTTGTCGCTTTTTTTTTTTAACTCGTCGGTACGATGTCACTGGATAGAAATTATTAAGAAGTACTAAATTTATCATCTTGTATATTTTGTTTTATTTAAATATACTTAAATAATATAAGAAATGTACGATATAAATAATATAACAAATATACGAAAAAATGAATTTTCTCGAGAGGAAAGGCTTAACCACTTGCGCTGGCAATTGATTGCGGACCATAACGAGTGACCGAATACAATAATTCGTCGCTTTCTTTTTCTCTTGAACTCGTCGGTACGATATCACTGGATAGAAATTATTAAGAAGTAATAGACTTATCATTTGTTTTACCTGGGTTATTACTTAAATATGACTTATAACTGAGAAAATGTTGCAACATAAAAACTCTGAACGTGCGTGGCACATCATTCCTAGCGCAAGAGGTTAAGTTACTCGATCCATTCTGCTCTCTTTGCGTCACGATATCGAACGGAAGCTTTCGCGAGAAACAAAATAAATCCACGGAGTTCTAACGCTTGTAAATATCTACGTAATATGTACGTCGAGCGAGATGTTCGAGCGTTACAAACGAAACAGCGAAACCGATGTTCTGGCGCAGAACAGAACCCTCAAAAGCGTCAGCCAGGTCAATTGCTAAGAAGCCTCGACCCTGCCCAGAACTGCCAGATGTCCTAACATACCTCTCACCTAAGGACACTTTTTCTGGCCTTGGAGAGAGAAAGAGACAGTATGTAGAAAGGCACGGTAGGGCATAAACAAGGCGCCTTGGCTCCAGAAAATCGCATACCAATTTTAGAAAGACATAGATTCACGTAGCGAAGAATCACTCCATTGAAGCAGTCACACGTAGACCATTCAAGCAGTCACAAGCAATCCGTTAGAGGAGTGACTCCGACTCACAACACACAACACATTCATTACAATTAACATTTGTACAATAGTTAAAATATAAGTATTTTATTCTACATCTCGTCCTAATTCATAAAAACACCTCTTCAGCGGCTATAAAAGGCACGACGAGAGAAAGCCCAGCGAAGCGGGTAGCAACTACCGTCGCGCTGCGAGATCTTAAAAATAATACTTCAGTATGAAACTGAACTGCAAGACAACTCTCGTAAAAGAGGGGAAAAGGACAAGAAGCAAGGAGATAATACTTTTGGTGGCGTGACAGATATAATACATTCTCACGGTGGAGGTGAACTCGTCACGGTGGAATATCGTCGCGAACGCAAAGTTCCCGCGCGATGTAATTAACTCGACAAAGTTGCGCCCGCCTTGGGTAAGCTCCTAAGGGGGATGGTTTACAAGCGTCGTTGTCCACGTGTTCCACCCTCCTGCCGCGTGTCGGAGGGTTGTGAAAGCAGGCCGCACATAAATTCAGCCGGGTCAGAGCCGCAGATGCGAGTCGTCGTCGTGGTGGTTTGGCCCGCGACCAAAGCTGATCGCGTTACAAAGTAGCCTAGCCGCGGCACCGCGAGATTTCGTTATTTTCGAGAACTTCAAGCAACTTCGAGCTGAGAATTTTTAAATATCTCTCTTTTCTTTTTTTCTTGTTCTTCCAGTTCTAAGTATTTTTTTCTCTCTCTTTTCTTTCTTTCTTTCTTTGGCCTTTCTTACCTAGGGAAAGATGAACGTTTCAATTGTACGAGAGAAGTTAGTCAAAATGTTTGATGAAATGTATAATTTAACAGTATAATTTAAAATTTACACAGGATTCATAAAAATGGATATTTCGTTTGTGTGATATCTTGTTTAAAGTATATCTTATGGACAATCTTTAACAAAACTTTTAAAGTTTCAAGGACCTTCAATGGGAGAGAAGTTAAGCGAAA